ATCTCTCTTTCTCTCTCCCCCCCCCTCTCCCTCTTGTCCCGTATAATGCGCGGCGGCGGTAAGCTGGCTGGCAGCTGCCTGCCTTCCGTGCAACCAGCAAGGTTAGCGGCCCAGTCTGGCTGGCCCGTTCCTCCACGTACGGCTCTCCACGCATGGAATCTCCGGAGATTCTCTCCCCAGCGTCTCTCCTCCTCCTCCTCCTCCTCCTCCTCTTCCTTCTCCTCCACCACCTTTCCATCGCATCGCCGCACCGTCATTACTTCGTCGCCGCTACTTCTACCAGCGCTTACCGTCGCTTCACCGCACTGACGATATTCCCGCTTCCCATCCCGCTCTGTCTCCCTTTCTTTCTCACTTCTCGCGGATCCTTTCGCGCGCGTCCTCTCTCTCTCTCTCTCCACCTCTCGGAAACATAGATATGGAGGGTCTCTCTGCGTGTGCAGTATCTCTCCTCGTGACTTCCAGTTTGTCGCGGACACCGTCCTCGTTCCTTCGCTCATCCGCTCTCGCTCCTTCATTCGCGCCACGAGCTTCCCCACCCCGTGTCCCCTTCCCCCTCGTCGTCCCACGTCGTGCTCCTCCCCCTCCCTCCCTCCCTCCCCCCCTCCTTCCCTGCTGTCCCGCTTACTCTGTTCCGACACCGCAGGCGGTTCCAAGCGACGCCTGCGCGAGAGCGAGGGGAAACGTGCTTGGGGAACGTGTGCGCGAGCGGGACGGAGCGCGGTGAAGAGATAGAAGAGAGGAGAGTCGGAGAATGCCGAAGTTTAGTCCGCGGCTGCCGTCGCCGCCGTCGCTGTCGACCGGACGGACAAGTATTGCCCGGATCCCGTCCCGCTCCGGGCTTAGGGGTCCCGTTTGAAGGCGCAGCTGGGGTGAGGCTCGGGGGGAGAGGGAGGGAGGGAGGGGGGCCTCCTCGAGTCAGATATGAATCTTTGTGCCGAGAGGGCGGCCCGCACACTCGACGGCTAACGGCGGGGTGGCATCCGTCTTTAGAGGAAGAAGCAGAAGAACGGAGGAGATCGGAGGACCGCGGCGACGAGCCTCGTGTAATAATTTATTCCGTTTAGGCTCCCTGTCAAGTCTCTTCGACGCTGGATCCTGACCCTTCTTCTTCTCCTCCTCCTCCTCCTTCTTATTCTTTTCCTCTTTCTCCGCTTCTCTTGTCTGCACTTTCTCTGCTCCCCCCTCTCTCTCTTTCTCTCTCTCTCTCTCTCTCTCTCTCTCTCTATAGCTTCGAAGATCCGCACGCGTACCTCATTCGCGACCGTATATGATCATCATGGTTCTTAAGTCCGAGGACATTACTCGATCGGACCTAGCGAATACCGTGTACGGTACCAAGGGGGCATGCATACGTCAGCGATCTTCTCAGCGTACATTACATATCGGATTCGAGTCTCTAGTCTGTGCTCGTCCCACGACAACACTAAGGGGGAATCCGTGACAGACTGGGAGCCAGGAGATAGATGGAGGATCGTGATCTCTCTTCACGTGTTGAACGGAGAGAAGAAGGAGATACGAAGCGACCCCGCGCTTCGTTTCACTTTGCGTCAGCATGACGGTACTTTGAGAGAGAAAGAGAAGGAGAAAGAGCGAACAACCGATAACGCGACGGCTTCTCGCGTCGGGAATCGCATGACAGTTTAGCGTGACCCTGCTAGGCGCGATTTAGAGCGAAATAATAAATCGCAAGGGAGAACGCGATTATACTTGTATATATCGTAATTGCGAAATTAAGTATTTTTCAGATTTACTATTTTCTATTAATTATCGCGTTGCATATATAACATTAATCGTGTGTGTTATTACAATCTGTCGATTATACTTCTTAGATCCGAGTAGCGTCTTAGACTTGGCTAATTGACATGTACATATTGATAGAGAAAATTCGTTATGATATGGCTGCGTTAGATACAGTTATTAGTTACGTGGTATTAAGTAGAGAGAATGTAAATGAAAAAAATTCAAGTTGCGTGTACTACTTTTCCATAAGAGAGCTGTGAGAGGAACTACAGGTCCGTCCGATAGGAGACGCGAGAATGATAGGTTAAATGCTGATATTTCGCATCGTCATTGCGCGATGGTACAAAACGTCACGATGAAACGTAATAACGTTGTAATAAAACGCGACCATTCGCTCACACGCCATACGTCGGCTTGACTTTAACGTCGCGTTCATCTGACATTTCGTGACACCGGGTTACGCAAGCGTGATACTGCCCATCGGTTATAATTATTCGACCGCCAATTAAACGTGTTAGAGCGTCGGTATTTCGCTCATTCATTTTAGTCGCGATACTTGGCCGCAGTCGTTCGACGAGACGCTGCGTCGAAAATAAAGCACGGTTATCTAAATACGTGGCGAAACATCCGGAAGTCTCTCACGTTCAAATTTACTCAACAGCAGATCCGAAGTCTAGATAATGTTAAATATTTACCAACGTTAGAGAAATGTAATGTGATAGATTGCTATACGTAGAATGATACAAAAGTTATCGGCACTCAATAAATGTATTAACCTTAGGTAGGTAGATGGGATAGTCGCAACATAGTTTTCTTTAAAACCTGATTCTCTGGAAAGGGAAAGTAAGAAATATTGCCCAGATACCTAAAAGCAAGTTCAATATTTTTACATTCTTCTAGCTTCTTCATGTAACTTATGTAAATTTAACTATGACGTAATATTAGTAAATATTAGTAAATATACATCTATAACGATTTTTGTAAAACATTTTTTGGGATGTTCCGAATATTTCATCCAGCAATTTTTGCATCTTCAAACTAACTGCCTACTTAAGAGTTAATCGCGTATCGTGAAATTCCTAAAGAATGCAATAGTGATTGAAACTGACGACAAATTACGTTCATTGATGTTTCATAAACTGCTGATCTTGAGAAATTTTCTTTCTGTCAGAAGCTCTCAATATTAATAAGAAAAGAAGAAAAGATGGCATCTTCATCCTTCTTCCCATTAAGTTTTTCATGTAACTTTATAAGCTCTTAACGCGATTCTTTTTTTACATCCATCGGCAGTAAGAAACTATTTTTCAGTATAGAGTTTAGTATAGAGTTTCGCCAGATCGTTTCTTTGAAATTGGACAAATCCTGAGCCAAACGAATGTGATGAGAGGCTAGTGATCCTCTGGAATTACGAAGGCGATTATTACCGCGGCTCGTACGATCTCGTCGAAGCGGTCTTTGATGTCCGCGAGAGTATTTCCGGGGACGGGCGGACGTTCCGGTTTTCCATCGGATCGTCCGGTTAGCAAGCGTGCCGGACGCGGCTTTTCGGATGATTAGTCACGCGACCGGCGCGCGCGATCGGTTTCCGGTCACAGGCCGTTCTGGATTCCAGGTCGGCGTGTCGGTGTGAGTTTCCGCCTGCCTACCTCTCTTATCGATTCGCTCGTTTCATCGTCGTCGTCGTCGTCGTCGTCGTCGTCGTCGTCGTCGTCGTCATCGTCGTCATCGTCGTAGTTGTCGTCGTCGTCATCGTCGTCGTAGTCGCCGTTGTCGTTAGCGATGCGATGAGGAGCCACTCGGACGGGGACGACTCTCGGAACGACGAGTGGTTTTACGAGTGGACAGTTAGGGTCGGCCGAGAGAGCGATGAAAGTTTCCCTCCCTCGCGTTTCCGCAGAGGGGGGTCCGAGATGGGTCCTTCCCTCGCATCGCAGTACCCAGACTCGTCCGGTATTCCAAGAAGGTGCCGGGACACTTTCTGATAGCTACGATCGCGATAAAGCGGCCTTCCGCGGCAAGGATGCTGAGAGTGGAATTTTTGAGGGAAACCGTCCTCTATCCCTTTTACCGATAAAAAATATCAGGAATAAGAGTCTAATCTAGTAGTAGTGCGTTCGAGTCGCATTTTCGTTGATAACAGTAGTCTTACATTTTTATTTTCCTACATACAATACTGTCGATTTAAAAGAATAAATTTCCCTTCGACGACTTAAATAAGGCACGTTAGAATTTTGATTGCTAAATCGTTTCAACGAATAGTTTCCATACAGAAATACTTCGTTACACTCTCGGCTCGAAGATTTTCGACAAGTAACGGAGTAAATCATCCGTTCTGTGTACATTTTTTATTCGTTTTAATGAATATACGTGATGCGAGTGAAATTCAACAATTTTTCCTTAAAATTGAGAGGTTCGTAAAAGATACCGAATGGTAGAGTTTTAGAATGTGATATAAAGAGGATAAAGGTGGATGTAGTAAAATGATTCAGTCGGAATAGATGATGCGAAGAAAAGTTCCGCTCGCATTTTTCTGTATCGATCTGTAGCGGTTTGTGGGTGTAACGCGAGTACGCCCGGAGCTAATGGGACGCTTTATGGTGGGTTTGACCTCGATAACGCGGTTCGCGGGATGTACCAAGAGAGCGGACGTTATCGGAAAAATCCACAGTCGGCGCTTTTGGATTTAAAAAGCGCGAATAAAACGGCCGCGAGGAAAAATCGTCAGTACAGTAAACAAAAAAAAAAAGCCGTGATTAGCGTAGTGTGATTTCGCGGGAATTGAGAATTGTATTGCCAATATATACACATGAATATACATTTATAAATATGTATATAATGTTTTGTGTGCGCGCGCGCGCGCG